CAAGGGCTACAAGAAGTGAAAATAAAATAGAAAACAATGAGTATAGGGAAGATTGTGGAAAGGACAAAAGATGAATGAAGTTCAAGAAGACAGAAAGTGGCGATTGACGTTGCATTTTAAATTTTTGAAGATTGTAGTTATCAGGGGGACAAGGCAAGGGAATAGAGTTCTACAGGTTGGAAGTGCGAGAAAAGAAACTGCTGGAGTAGAAATGGCGGTTGTATTCAGCTATTTCAACAGTGGGACCTGTTGTTCATAATGACGGTCGTCTTCGAGTATAGAATCCAGAGGTTAGCAGTGAATATTTTGAAGACAGTAGGAAAGCGTTGTTCAGGTTAGCAGTGAATATTTTGGTAAAAGTAGCATAGCATAGTTCTTCCTTCTGTTTCTCTTCGCCTGACAAGCTGGAACTGGACATTCGGCTAGGGTAAAGAAAATGGCCGCCTTTATACACGACGGTTTGAATATTCTACGTCTTCTGATTGGTTAACCTTCTATTGGTGGACTATAAAGTGAGTCAAGTCATTTGGACTGGCTCACAAGTTACATACATACATATACACAAAAAACTGTAACAGGACCTAATTGTCAGTCAAGTAGAACGCATTAAATTCATGTAATCTGGGCACCTTGGAAAAAGACGATTTTTAGTTAGTTTATTAGACACGACACAAGAGAACGTAATTTATTAAACTTAGCTGTGTTTGCTCCGAAGTCAAAAGATGAGGATCGATCTGATGGTAAATTTTGTGATGTCAACGAACACCTTGTTGCCACTTTTGTAATATCAACGAATACTCGTTGCCACTTTCGTAATGCTCGTTGTAGTAGAGACTTTGTAATCTCAGATATAGCTATAGTAACGCCGTTGAACAATACTTGTGTCAGATGCCCCCGAATAGCAGTCGCATTAATAGTACTTGCTCGATAATACTCGCTCGAATAGTAACAACCGAATAGTGATCCGTATAGTGATGATATTCACTAACCGCCCCACGCGGTCGGATGTGTCACAAGGCCGAGTTTATTGTGGGGCATCCGAGTCCGTAGGCTTGGACAAAAATTTCCCGTAGACCTCGTAAAAAAACAGGATCGGATAGCTGTCTCCCGAGAAGAGACTCTGCCCTTCGACATAGCCTCGTCTGGGGGTCCTCTCTTGCCTGGAGGCAAAGAGTTTGACCAGCACACTCTGAAGTAATCCTCCACTTAGACGCCACGCTAATTCCCATATAAACATTTCCTTTACCATCACGTGATCTACTTATTCAAAATGGGATTGCTTGTGTTTGCTCTCTGGTGATCTGTGTTCAAATTCCAGTGTCGGCAGCGACACTTTATTCCTATATAACAGTCACAGACCCCGAACTGCTGCCAGTCACGATGAACGGATGTCCCCTCGAGGCGCTACCGTGCGTTGAGAGAATATTGGACCTCAAACTCACACCTGATCTCAAGTGGAACTCGTACATACAATCCATCGCTAAAGATACAGGTAAATGATCGGCTACCTGTACCGCGGCAGTAAGTACCTGACTCATCATACTATCCACTACCTTTATAAGAGCCGGATCAGACCAAAAATGGAGTACTGTTGTCATATTTGGGCGCCCTCGAGTCCTTGTGGGTGATGAATTATTTTGCAACCTCTCTCACAGGCGTGATGTAGCGAACCTCTCATTGATCTATCGTTACTGCCATGGAAAGTGCTCGGACGAACTATATTCCTTGGTTCCACCATATCTAACCTTCACGGCGAGGACCCGTTATACCATTTACATTGTAGCGGTTGTTTACATACACCACGCCCACAAAATACTCAATAGCCATTGGATAGAAAATAAGCACTATTTTCTATAGGACAATTTATGCATCGCATGAGCCACATCAAATTTTTCTGATGTTTACTTTGCCAAACCAGTGATTGGTTAATTTTTGACCAATAATATAATATAAAACTCCTTTCAATATTTCTCCCGCTCTCGTTCCTGGAGCCTATTCAGAAAGTATAAATAACACGAAAATCAAAGAAAAGAACAGTAGTAGAAACAGTAAATCTCCAGAGCTCAACCACGTACGTGAATTCTAATTCTTCTACTCACACACACAGACACAAAATTACAATTGCACTACGCTGTGAACTGTCTGTCCAAAAAGCCAAGTAACCAACTCAGAATTCTATCATTCTTTTGTACAACTTTCTCATACTTAAACTCAGTTATCACATATTGCTGAACTCTGAACATTTTTTTAAACAAGAAAGTTCTTTTAACACATATTTACAATTTCACATCAGTACAAAGGGAATTACTTCATCTTTCTTAACTTTGTTTCACCAAACACAATTGTTGTACTCGCTTGTTTTTTCAATACATGTTATTGTTGATTACTGAATAATCTCTTGTTATTCCTTCTTTGTGTTTCTTCGTAAATGTGATGTGCTAATCAAAAACGCAAACTTCACCAAAGCCTTCTTAACAATTTTATACCAAATCTCAGCACGCCACAACATTTTAGCAAACCATTCATATTACCTCCGTCTCCCAATTCGATATTTCGCCGATCACTACAATCTTAAAAAATCTGCTCACCGTTAACCGTTATCTTCCCCTCCTATCCGTATAAACTACACCTTAAACGTAACTCTCTACCCTGAATGGTCCCCTTGCTTTGTACAGGGCGAAACTTATTGTAAAAAATAAATAAATAAATAAATTTAGCCCGCCGATGCATCAAATACAAGAGAGCGTCAGTGAAGACCAAGCACAAGCGATGGTCTCACTTCGTACGCAACCTGCTAAGCTAACCACTTTTTTTACGGCAAGGAAGTATAAATAATTCTGGTATAAATCTTGCTGTTGTTACACAGGCGTGGGTCAGTCGAGGCAGGAAGCGAGTCACTTGTAACGAGATCCTCGTCAGAGTTTAATAAGCTACGCAAACAAGTAATTTCCTGATTTTTGGAATGTGCTTCAAAAATTTCATGACAGATTTGTAAACGTCCGCATCTGGAGATGCTTTTCAGTGGATCGACACTCAACATAGTTCCTGATTTTGTTGTTATTTCGTTGTAAAACTATGAAAGTCGTGTCTCCTTCTTAGAGTAAAGAAAGAGAGAGAGAGAACGAGGAGAGACGATACGTGGCATGAGGATATGTACCACGTGATTACTCTTTCTCAAACGAAAGACAAAAACCAAAAAAAAAGAAGCAAAAACTAGCAGTTTGGTTTTTACGGGGTAAGTGAAAGGCAGAAAAAGGCAAGTTACACCGAGAGCGAGGCGAAAGGATTAAGTTATCATTTGTTGTTGCTGGTCGACAAGCCTGGGGTTTCAAATACACGACAATTGCCTTCCTTCGACTTAAAAAAAGAGAGAGACAGACAGACAGATTAAAACTAGAACTGATTTTTTTTTCTTTCTTTTTTTTTCTTACATTCTTTCTCTTAGTCCTTCCGACTTGTCACTTTTTTTTAAAAATAAGTAAACCAAATTCTCCAGAATTTTTACTATTCATCACCAAGTAGCAGCAAAGATTCAATGTGTAAATGTCCAAGAGAATCACTGATTTACGAAAAACATTCGTTTGGGACAACTTTGACAAGAAAGAAGGAATAAAAGAAGATTGAATAAGCAAATTGAGGGAAGGAAGATAAAAACATTTTTTTTTCGAAATAAAAAGAAAAAATCGAGGGAAGGTGACTTGAAGACGAAACAAAATTTTTAAAGGTAAGTGTAGTTGGAAAGTAAATTCCTTACTATTCACGATCCATTTTTTTTTGTGTGCGTGTGTGATGATTTTCAACAACACATCAACTCAATGAACCGTTTCTAAAAGTTATTGTCCCCATTGTTGTTTTTCAATTCACAATTTTTAAAATGTTTATCATTACTTTTGTTATGAATATGATTTTTTTTTGTTAAGAAATTAACCATTTTTGCTTAATTTAAAAATGTTTTTAAAAAATATCTTACGTCCTTCTTTTGTCATTATATCTATCTATCTATCTATCTATCTATCTATCTATCTATCTATCTATGACTGTTCATATCTATCTATCTATCTATCTATCTATGACTGTTCATATCTATCTATCTATCTATCTATCTATCTATCTATCTATCTATGACTGTTCATATCTATCTATCTATCTATCTATCTATCTATCTATCTATCTCTATCTATCTATCTATCTATCTATCTATCTATCTATCTATCTATCTATGACTGTTCATATCTATCTATCTATCTATCTATCTATCTATCTATCTATCTATCTATGACTTCATATCTATCTATCTATCTATCTATGACTGTTCATATCTATCTATCTATCTATCTATCTATCTATCTATCTATGACTTCATATCTATCTATCTATGACTGTTCTATCTATATTTCTCAAGCTATCTATCTATCTATCTATCTATCTATCTATCTATCTATGACTTCATATCTATCTATCTATCTATCTATGACTGTTCATATCTATCTATCTATCTATGACTTCATATCTATCTATCTATCTATGACTGTTCATATCTATCTATCTATCTATCTATCTATCTATCTATCTATCTATGACTTCATATCTATCTATCTATCTGATCTATCTATTCATCTATCTATCTATCTATCTATCTATGACTGTTCATATCTATCTATCTATCTATCTATCTATCTATCTATCTATCTATCTATCTATGACTGTTCATATCTATCTATCTATCTATCTATCTATCTATCTATCTATCTATCTATGACTTCATATCTATCTATCTATCTATCTATCTATGACTGTTCATATCTATCTATCTGACTTCTATCTATCTATCTCTCTATCTATGACTGTTCATATCTATCTATCTATCTATCTATCTATCTATCTATGATTTCATATCTATCTATCTCTCTATCTATGACTGTTCATATCTATCTATCTATCTATGACTTCATATCTATCTATCTATCTATGACTGTTCATATCTATCTATCTATCTATCTATGACTGTTCATATCTATCTATCTATCTATCTATCTATCTATCTATCTATCTATCTATCTATCTATGACTGTTCATATCTATCTATCTATCTATCTATCTATCTATCTATCTATGACTGTTCATATCTATCTATCTATCTATCTATCTATGACTGTTCATATCTATCTATCTATCTATGACTGTTCATATCTATCTATCTATCTATGACTGTTCATATCTATCTATCTATCTATCTATCTATCTATGACTTCATATCTATCTATCTATCTATCTATCTATGACTGTTCATATCTGTCTATCTAAGACTGTTCATATCTATCTATCTATCTATCTATCTATGACTGTTCATATCTGTCTATCTAAGACTGTTCATATCTATCTATCTATCTATCTATCTATCTAAGACTGTTCATATCTATCTATCTATCTATCTATCTATCTATCTATCTATCTATCTTGAAACTTTTCTACAGCTCAGATTGTATTTCATTCTTTTCATAAAATGGGTTTTGTTTTTGCCGATATCCGCACGCGTTTGCGCGCATACACACACACACATTATTATCCCTTTTTTTTTTACACGTAAACATTTTTTTAATTATAGGATGAGAAAATGGATGATTGAAATCATTAACTTGTTGCACACAAAGCAATACAAATTTATTTGATTTGTTCAAGTTTTCATCGACTTATTTGAATTTTGAATGTACTATTTATGTTATTTGTGCTAATTTTTTGTTTTTTTTAGGGTGGGGGGGATTTGAATTAGCAACTCCCAAATAAAAAAAAAGGCATAACGATAAATAAAGTGGATTTTAAAAGATACGTTCGAAATTATATTAATTTTGCAAGAAAAACTGCTAAAGTGATAAAAGGAAAAAACGAATAGGAAAAATCCTATTGTTAAATATAATTTATATTCCTATTAATTTTTAAATTAAATAGGATTATAACAATAGAATATTTTTTACCTTATTTCATTATTGTACAACTAATGTCGAACTTAACATCATAAATATCAAAATAACAAAATTCTATTAAAAAATCTTTGGCTTCGAAGTACAGTTTTTTTGTTATTCCTCTGAGGGTGAATGTCGGCACGTAAAATTAAATTATAAACAGACTTGCACAACATGACTCACATTCTAAGTGTAAGAGAAAGTATGAATATGTCACAAATTCTAACGAACAAAAATCGTCCTTCCTGTCCACTTTCCGTTGCTAAAATACGAGAAACAATTTTAATTTTACTGAAAATACGACTTTTCTTTTTGTGTCTCTCGCTCTGTTGTATCATGTAGTTTTAAATTAATCCTTATATTTAAAAAAAAAAATAGTTTAATTAATTTGTGTTGGAATTTTTTCGACGCAGATCTTCCATTACTATATGAGTAATTATTCGGACCATGAAGCTCATCTTGATTGGTATGCTTACAACGTTTTTCGGCAATTATACGTTTCAGCCAGGCCGGCTTAATGCACTGGCAACTCGGGCAGTGGCCCAGGGCGCCATCAAGGCCAAGGGCGCCATCATGCCGCCATGTCATGTGTTTATTAGAATCTTCCAAAACTAAAGCTTATAAAAAAATATACTCGCCATCGTCCATGATTCAAGACAGATTAAATTCTTTGGTTATTTTGTCAATAGAAAATGATCTTGTAAAGAAGATAAGTGTAGAAAATTTCATGAAAACTGAAAAGATTTGCAGATCTAATAAAGGCTAGACAAAATGTTTTTGGTCGGATAATGAATGTTTTCTTTCGCTTCTATTAAGTCGTATATTTTAAACTCATTATTCTACATTTTCAGAATTTCTACTTGTGAAAATTTAAAAAAATATATATACTGGTAAAGGTGCCGAAGTTCAGTTTGCCCGGGGGTAACAGCAACCTTAGGGCCGTCCCTGCCACCCGGGCTCCTTCAGGTGTCTGTTGTCGTAGTGTGGATTAAAATTCGTTTAAAATCATATCTAGCAGGTTTCAGTTCAATCACTGGGTCTGGTCTCTAATGTTGAAAATGTAACCAACTCTAACGAACAAAAATCGTCCTTCCTGTTTAAACTCTTCTTTCTTTCTTTCTTTCTATCAAAATGAAATAATTTTTGAACTTTATTATTTAATACTGCAAAGAGGTGCCCTATTCTTTTCTACCAAAAGATTCGTGTAAGTCTCGAATAATCATGCCACTGGAACATGTTTACAACTTATAAAAATAAAACAAAATAAAAGGGCTGGTTTCAAATAAAATTTTCTCCGGGATATTTCATTTGAGTTTAATAAACGTAGAACAAAATAACTGTGCCGTATATAAAGTTATTTACAAAATAATAAACGTCCCTTACCAAATAAGCTGCGTGCCGGGAAGAGAAACTGAATGAAATAATTTGATCTTACCGACACTTGTATATCGTACACAAGTATATCTATATATAATAATTCAGAGCACAACTCAAAAGTCTCCTAATAACTAGAAATACCTGTGAAAATTTTATGGTTTTTCTACTTGAATTTTCTGATCAATCTTAATTCTTAAATTAAGATTGATCAGAAAATTCAAGTTAACGATTTAATTAAGCTTATGGTGAGTTCTACAACAATAAAATATCCATAGACATTCCCCTATCGCATCGTTAAATATTTCAGCTTAACAACTTTAACAAAATATTGCAATAACAATTTGAATGCTTTGTCGTTATTTTAAGAAAGAGGTAAAAAATAAAAAAAATTTGAAGTTGACGACTTTTCTCATTTCACTGAAACAGACGTTAAACGTGTGAGCGTGTTATCACCTCATTTATCTTTCTTTCATTTTCTCACTAAAACCAAGTAGCGTCTCTGATGTGTCTTTTCCGTCTTTCCATACGATCAAAACGTGATTGTTATTTATGAGGTAGTAGCAGGAACTAAAGAACTTCCACCTCACACCTTACGAAGTGCTTTATCTATGTAAAATGTGTTTGTAGTTTCTTTGTCCTTTTTTTATTTTGCAAAAACGTGCAGTCCTTACGCCATTTCTGACCTTAGGTCTCAGATTGGAACCCTGAAAGAAATGTGTATACAACAGAAATCAAAGAAGATAATAATAATAATCAGACTGCAATGTATCTTTGAAGATATTCAAAAAGCTATCAAAATACAAGGACCTTGAAATTGAAATCTCAAATGTGGCACATGGGAACATCATCAATCCCTGTTGTAGTTGGAGCCCTAGGATTGGTTGGGAAACATTTACCGACCTGAATGTCCAAGAAATAGAAAATATGCATCCTTCGACAGGAATTGAACCTGTATCCTATGCGGAACCGTCATATAGCCTGACGTGCTTTTACCGTAAAATTTTCTACGAAAATTTCTCGGACATTCAGGCCGGTAAATGTCGTTAATACTGTTCATTATAAACAGAGCATTTACTTAAATATTTGTATCTATAAAAAGAACGTATAAACATAAAAAATGTCTTAAAATAATTGTCGCACTTTGTCCATTTCATAATGCCTGACTATGTAGCTATCTATCTTTTATTTATTCATTCACTCACTCACTGAAACAGTCTCTTTTCCCCTCTTTACATGCGATCAAAACGGAATAGTCCATTATTCATGAGGTATTGGCTGTAGACGTTAAACACATTTATCTTCCTTTCTTAATAGTTAAATCCCCGTCTTACGAACATTCCTCTTAATAATAATTTTAAAATAATTCAGTAGACGATGTTATTTTATTTAATTTATGGAAACTGGATTTTTGGCAATTGCCTTACTCCGTTTCCGTAGTTCGGCACTGGCGCTTTTATCAATCACCGTCACTTCTTGGTATTTTTGACTGAGATCAAGGTGTAGTAACTGTTTCTAGCAGCTTAATTTGATTATCTCTCTTCACTTCTCTTCTTTCTTTCATTGTCTGCCTTCCTCTATCTCTCTTGCTCTCGATATGCGATGTAAGGATATGTTTGCCAATCTCACCTTCCTCATTATATAGGGATTATGGCCGCATCACGTTGAAATATCGGTTCCCTTACGGTCACTGAAGTAAAGCGAACCTGGTCAGTACTGGGGAATACCAGGGTCTATAAGCTTTAATGTACGGGTGGTGTAATAGCTAATGTCTCTGAAATGTTAATCGGGGAGCCGAGTTCAACTTCTAGCTGGGTTCGTTATATTAAGCGCACAGAGGTAAGAATATACTACTTGACCCTCAGCTATGGGTTGATTAGTAAGGCTTTTATCACAAAATTATTATTATTTCCCACCACCCAAATATTTAGAATCTAAAAATATTTTCTGACTTTAAATAATCTGCTATGGGTCGATAAACCGTAAAAATGAATCAGGGTGAACGGACAGTTGCGTCACGGAAAATTGCGTACCTCTAGTAATATTTTAAAGTTATGATACGTTCTTTTCTTAAGAGTTGTTAATTGCAAACCAACTTTTAATTATTCTAAGCAAGTAAAAAGCTAGTTAACAAAAATTTTGGAGGAAAAAAACAATTTTTTTAAAGAGTTGCTTAATATAGAAAATTTGCATACCAATACCTTTAATTACTCTAAACAAGCAGAAAGGTAGTTACCATAAATTAAAAAAAAAGAGAGAAAAATTTATTTTTTAAAATAAGGAAAAATTAAGCTAGCAGTTTCAGTTCACTCCGGCAGTGCGTACCACAAACAACCAAATAGATTCTGGATTTTATAGATTATATTTTTATTTGGAACCCTTGGCTAAGTTCCGAAAATCAAACAGTGATGGAAAAATGTATGTGAACGAGGAAAATTACAGCTACTAGTATCATAAGTGTTATGATGTTGATTTGGGGTTAGTAGAGACAAACGCCAAATAACACGTAACAATAAAAAGGGTTTTAATAGGTTGGTAAAAAGGTACAGAAATCGCCTGAGTAGTCAATAACTAGCTCAGCTAAGAATTTCTCTGTCTATCTTCCCATTATTTAAAGTCTCTGTTCACAGACGCAGACAAGTTCATCTTCAAGAGGGGTGGTAGGTTTCCGACACAGCAATAAGAAAAATGCAGAGAAAACAAAAACATACTGACGATATGAAGAGCGATCTTGCAAAGCAAGAATTCATACAGTAAATGACTCAGTCACGCCACGCCATAATTGTTATTGCATTTTAAACAAAAATAAACTTTTATTTTTAATTTTATTCCTTTATCTTTAATAATTATGATTACTACTGATGCTTAAAAAAAATATGGTAATTGCCTTTAAAAGTTTAAAAAATATAAGCGGTATGCAATTATCCAGGGATAGATTTGTCCAGGCACGCAATTTCCCGGGATACAAATTTCCAGTACGCAACTGTCTTAGAACCGTTTTCCAGCTCCCTTATGATTGCCTTGCTGTAGATGTAGAACAAATCTGGAGAGAAGACACATTATTGTCGTACGCCCTTTTCTATTTTTGTGTCCTTACTCATTTCATTTTCTATCCGGCATCAGTTCTGCATCATTCGAACATCCTTTT